CATTCATAATATGTATCATAGACTTAGAATATACTGGCGTATAGACATCCTGACAGCCCGAAAACGCGTGAATAATCATAGATAAATATATATGTAGCAAGCTAATGTGACTAATTTTGATTTGTCATTGTGTGCGTTAGCTAGTGATGTACATTTTACTTACAAGGACTATCGAAAAATGATTCTTAAGGAAGCGGTATAATATTTAAAATTGATAAGTGCACGAAATTAAATATCTTCAAAAATTAACTGAATTTTTACCATGATAGTTCTAAAAGAATTAAAAAAATATTTATATAACATGTTTCTGGGAATAAGCTGAACCTATCTGCCTTTTGTTGGATTTTAATTTAAATGTATATAATCCCAGGTGACTCTACCGATAAACTTAAAAAAAAAAAACTCCCCAAGAATCAGATCGAAAAGTTGTATTTTCGAGCTATGATCGTTGGAGAAACATATTTACTGCCATGGACAATTTCCCTGGATTTTTTTTTGTAACATATCGCTAATATAAACAAGTAGATACCTAACTAAGTATATACCACAAACTAATAAGAAGTGCTAGCGCAGTATATACCTATATATATTTTATAAAATGGTTTTGATGGGGAAATAAAAAACGGAACACGGCGTACATAATGACTGCTTTATTTTTTCATGTAAGCATTACTTTTGATAATTACAAACATTTAACAATTAATCATTAAATACATTATAGAAGTTTATTTTAACATTCGACTTAAATATGAATGTAAACTTACTAATCTAAGTAAGAAAACAAATAGGAATCAGTTAAATAAGATGTCTCTGTTTAAAGGCCAATATGCTTATGATTCATGTTTTATATTCTTTCATCTTATGCATTTCATGTGCTATATTCTTTCATCTATATCTGAAAAGTATAAAGTAATAATAAACTTATCATTTTGGCTGCATGAATTTTAAAAACATAATGATTTTAACAGGGTTAAGTGCACCAAGTATCCGAGGATACAGATGCACTCTCTATTCTCTCAATCTCGGTATGTTAAAAAAATGGTCACTGATTCATGGACTGATCGCGGCAAGTGCAACTTAATCTTGTAGATCTATTGATCCATGCAGCTATTACTTAACCACGAGTTCCTCTTCTCTACGACTAAACACTGTAGGTGATGAACTACGCTATTTAAGGCCTCGGCACAATGTCGTCGGCTATCAAGCATGAATCGGACATCGAGCGTTGTGAGTATCAAATACTATGTAATTTATACTGTCCTGGCACATTGAACCACGCGTCTAATGCGCGGACGTCTAGTGGCACTTCAGGAGCATTACTAAATATCTATAGCTAACTATTCTAATAGTTTTATCATTGTGACTTGGGAATATAATCCGAAGCACCGCTCAACCCCTTGGGGAAAATAGCGTGATGCAATGAATATTGTACTAGTGTGACTGGCAGGCTGTGCGGTTGGTTAAGCAAGGTTATACATTTATTTTGGTAGATAAATAGATACTTAGTTAGGTTCATAATGGCTTAAAGAGGATAATCTCAAGATTTTTTTTGTCTTTAATGTACACATTATTTTAATTAATAAATAGATACTCAGTTGGGTTCATAATTGCTTAAATATCATCTAAAGATTTTTTATTTTTAATATACTACAGTTTTATAATGTATAAAAATCTGTCTCTATTATCTGTCTCTATAATCCTCGGTTTGCGTTCTACATTTTAGAACGCAAACGGAGGATTTATTTTCTTGTTGTGTTGTGAAGTCTATCGATGCTATGGATATCGACATTAATTTTGTATAGTTGAGTAGCGTACATGTAAAATATTTTGTATAAAAATGTATTTACGAAATTCATGCAAATTATCAACAACGTGACTTTTTTCTTGGAAAAATATAAAAATTAACTAAATAATTCAAAACATTCTATATTTTAAACAGTATATAGCATAAATTTTAACCAAAAATAAACATTGACGACGTCTTGAGTATTTACCTGTGAAATGTGCAATTATCAGGGTTATTTCTATTATTAACACGACAGTCACTCACAGAACAAGTAACCATTTCGGGAAAAGGTTACTTACTAAAAATAATCTATACACTCTAAAAAAATTACAAAATATCTATGAGTTATTTCTTGCGTGCCGACTTGTGCCGATCTGTCATTCAAAATCAGTTACAATGTCATGAGATTTAGTATCATTTTCTATCTTGCATTTTTGCCATAAGAAATTTTCAAGGTCTATACGTCTGTACGCCAGTATATTCTAGGTCTATGATATGTATGTATTTATAGAGTAATTACAGCAGGCCTCTGTCACTCTTGCTACCTGCGTGAAATAAATGCCTACAATCGCGTGGAACCTTGTTGCATACGCAGTAACGGCTAGCGCGGTTTAGGCGAGCGACGTATTAGTGAATTTCAAAGACTTTTAACACTGATTATGTAGATACATATTTTGTAAATACTTGTATAAATTTTAATGCAATTTATATGTATACTTATAGTTTATTCTTGAAATTACATTCATTGAAAATTTTTCCAATGAAAAAACCAGCAAATAATTACAAAAATTATTAACGAATATTAGTTTTATCACTCCGTGTGTCCCTCCCTTATACGTTAGATTTAGAGTTTTTTCCATTCTTAAATTAAATAACCGTTAGTTTAGAGACCTTAAAAATATATGAGATTATATTGAAGTAAAAAAGTTGTATATTAAATAGATAATCAAAAGATACTATACCTAGTCAGGTCATAAGTATTGTCACACAGTAAAAACTTTTCTTTTAGAATGCTGGCCAGAAAAAAGTTTATTGATTTCGAATTCCAAATTGTTCATGAAAATAAAACTGTATACTTTTTAGAATTTTACTCATTTTTAAATATGGAGTGGACGCTTAAAGAAGACCGTGTTGCAGTTAATACGTTGCATCGTTGCGGTTACGCCCCAATTCAAATTTTTGACATACTGAAAAATTTGAATATAATCAAAAGATTCGTTTATCGTACCATCAAACGATACAATGAAGACTCTAGTGTAGATGACAGGTCAAGAAGTGGTCGCCTTTGGTCTGTTAGGACTCCAGCAGTGATAAAAGCTGTGAAGGCGCGAATTCAAAGAAATCCCAAACGTAAGCAGAAACTGTTGGCCCTTCAGATGGGGTTAAACAGAACCACGATGAAAAGGGTGTTAAATGAAGACTTAGGGCTTCGGGCATATCGAAGAAAAACAGGACATCGTTTGAATGCTCGTTTAATGGACCTGAGACTGAAGAGATGCCGCGCTTTGTTGAAGCGGTACGCGGGAAAAAAATATTGGGAAATTCTTTTTTCGGATGAAAAAATTTGTACCGTAGAAGAGAGCTACAACAAACAAAATGATAAGGTGTACGCACACAGTAGTGAAGAAGCGAGCAACCGTATTCCGCGTGTCCAACGAGGTCATTTTCCATCCTCGCTCATGGTATGGTTGGGAGTTTCTTATTGGGGCTTAACAGAGGTACATTTTTGTGAGAAAGGTGTAAAAACGAATGCAGTTGTGTATCAAAATACAGTCCTGACGAACCTTGTGGAACCTGTTTCTCATAACATGTTCAATAACAGGCACTGGGTATTCCAACAAGATTCGGCGCCAGCTCATAGAGCGAAGAGCACACAAGACTGGCTGGCGGCGCGTGAAATCGACTTCATCAGGCACGAAGACTGGCCCTCCTCCAGTCCAGATTTGAATCCGTTAGATTACAAGATATGGCAAAACTTGGAGGAAAAGGCGTGCTCAAAGCCTCATCCCAATTTGGAGTCACTCAAGACATCCTTGATTAAGGCAGCCGCCGATTCTGACATGGACCTCGTTCGTGCTGCGATAGACGACTGGCCGCGCCGATTAAAGGCCTGTATTCAAAATCACGGAGGTCATTTGAATAAACTTTAGTGTCATAAGAAACTATGTTTCGTTAAGTTCATTTTGGTATATAAATGGTTACATAATGAATAAAATTGTTTCAATTATTTTATATTAAACATGTGACAGAATTTATGACCTGACTAAGTATATACGTACTGTATTATTTCGTAGACAGAGAATCCGATTTCTGGATTCTCGGTCTACGAAAATTTTTACTCTTTGTTGAAAGCTCTTGGTAACCATGAAATATCGTCCGTGACGTAGGAAGAGAAAAAGATGCAAAACTATACGGACACTCGCGCGCAGCGATAAGATTTAATTTAGCTTGCTTGCGTGTTTTATCTGATTAATAATAATTATATAAGCTATTAAAACGTTGGCAATTAGTGAACATCATAGGAGTGCAACTTCTGTACGTTAGTACTATTATTTATTCGGTGCTCTAAAGTATTATAAATATTCTGTGGTGTCAGGAGTCTTGGCGGGAAATTGATCGGCGGCGGTTTGCTGCTCCTGTATTATTGTTTAAATAATGGTTTGAAGTGGATTTTGATATGTAAAAGTGATCCAATTTTATGTATTAAGTGTCTCTTAAGTGTTAGAGTAAGAGTTAAGTGTATCTGAATCTCAAAATAAGGTGTCTGTCTGCTTAGGCGCCTTGAGATACCATCACAAACTACTCAGTGGATACTACGTATGATACTATCGCCAACTGTCAGCTGTCTGCTGGCTCAAGTTGCCGTCAAAATCTCCCAAGGGCTGCACAATGTGACGCATCGACATATTGTGAAGTAGTGTACTATGAAGGATAATTATACATTGTAACTTCAGGCTCATGGGCTAGAACCCAGAGCCGTAAAGCCAATTATAAAAAAACATCTGTGGTGTCACGTCAGCTGTTGCTGTCATCGTGGTCATCTGTTAAATGTAACGTCAGTGTCAGTGTCAGTGTCAGTGGTCGTGGCGAGCGTTGGTTCTTGGTGGTGTAATATCATTTTTTTTTATAAATGCCACTCATATTTATGTGGCACATATAGGAAAATTAATAAATAATACAAAATTTATCTAAAACTCGTAAATTTAAACTAAAAATGCCCAACATTGAGGGGTTGTCACTAGGTAAGCAAAATTCCATTTTTTGGTAATAACCTTACTATTACATATGTACGTAAGGAATTAAATAATTTTACGTACCTATTCTATATTCTCAAACAAATAATTTTTTAGCCGAACTCTTTACCTCGGAAAAAAAGGGTAACGATGAGACTGGGGATGGAACACGAGAAAAACCTTTTAAAACTATTCTACAAGCAATGCGGCATGCAGGCAAAGAACCTTTCCCGACAATTTATGTGGATGGGAAAGAAGATGGTAATGAGTACGAACTTGCCGCTAAATCTCAACTAAAAAAAATTCAGAAAATCTGGACAAGAGAAAACTACAAGGCTGCAGACAAAGCCAAAGCAGAGGATGAAAGCAACGACAAGAGGCAACAAAATTTGGATGAAGCGAAAAAGATTGTCATTAAAGAGGATCCATCACTTCCAAAGGCGAAACTTGTAAAGATTTGTGAAGGTGAATTAACTTTTATCATGATTTTTATTTAGTAAACTATTCTTGTTGTATGAGTTTCAGTAGTGCTGGTCATTTTCATTAATATTTTATGTACATGTACATATAAAGCAAGGTGATGTAATACTGCATTGCAGTTACAATATTACTTATACACTAAGTGATTTAACTTTATTTGGTGATTATTTAGCTTAGGGAAATTTCACATGCATTCTATTAAAATTAACACACCAACATAAAAACAAGGCAAGTAAATATAAAAAGGTTTTACTTGAACTCATTAATTATCTAAACTTCTAAATGTTAATAATAATTAATCTTAGTTCTGTATTCATAACTTCAAATGCCTTTTGTCCAGCTTTAGATATAGACACATACACCACCACTTACTGTTTGGTAACTACTCAATATAATTCTATTTGTTCTAATTTTATTCTCATCCTTTCATTGTCTTTTATGTAATTCATTCATCCATAGATTGTTTCAATTAATTACCTCTAATTTTCTCACCTTAATTAAGGAGACACCTGAAATAAAAGAGGTGGAGAGATGGGGAGAGTGAAAAAATATTTATTATGTACCATCTCAAATTGAGTCTTATTCTTGTTGTGGTATTTTATAATAATTATGAGATTGCTTTATGATAAATAATTGGCCTATTTTAATAAATGATAACTGATGGATGCCATACACAATCCAGTTTACCGTTAGTTTGCAGTGCCCTTGAAGCAGTTTCCATTTTCCAGCGTATCCATATAGACCACTCATGTTCAAGTTCGCCGTCAAGTTTGCATGATGCCGCACCAGTTGAAACCATGGTGTCTCTTGCTTATTGCTCCGACTATAGTCATTTATACTTGACCGTTCATACACATATTCAGGTTTACATGACACTGCAAGCTTGATCAAGTCGGCAGAAACAAAATTTAATTTTTGCGTCAAGTAGACCTGTCATGCACACTGATAGCCATACACCGTCAAGTTTGCCTGATGCTGCTTCAAGCGTGCTGCAAGCTTGACGGTAAACTGTCTCGTGTATGGCATCCATTACTTTAATTATTAATGTATAAAGTTTTCTATTTGTGTGCAGTCAAAAATCTTAAACATGATTAAGTAGACATCTGGTCCATTTTTTGTTATAATAAATAAATTATGTATGTACTTCTTTCACATTGTAGTGCAGATTAAAGATAAAGATGCAATAAATAATAATTTAAACCAATAAAGGTACAATTCGAAAATGACTGTAAGTACTGATGGTACTATGCAAGTATGAATTGCTGCCACAAAATAGTTGTATCTAATATAAATCTATAAAATATTTTAATAGTAAATAATCATATTTTCCATAACTTATCATTTTTATTAAATTTAGTAATTTGTATTTTATTCCAATATATAAATCAACATTAACAAAATAACAATAACCAAACAAGTGAGTATTAAGTAGTCCATACTAAATAATTTTGTGTATACAGTTAGTGTCTTTTATAAATGGTATTTTATCATTGCGGCCTATACCCGTCATAATTCATTCTGACAATTGTGTTGTTTTTATCAACATCATCACAGCCATACACAAGTCCACTGCTGTACATAGGCCGCAAGGAACACCACAAAGCACAGTCCAGAGCCACCTGCATTTGTTCTTTTATTAGTTAATAATACACTAATGTAGTAGGGTCCTCTGTTTTTATGTAATAACTTACTTGTTGTTTATATATTTTGATGTGTTCAGCTGGTGAACATCGAGGTGAACGTATATGCATCAGGGGATGGGTACACCGATTGAGACGGCAAGGAAAATCCCTTGCGTTCATTACACTGCGTGATGGTACTGGATTTCTGCAGTGTGTTCTACATGGAGTTCTTTGTCAAACATACAATGCACTGGTACTATCTACAGAATCTTCTGTTATATTGTATGGAAAACTTGAAGTTGTACCAGAAGGGAAGACCGTAAGTAGTTATTATATTATTAAGAAAAACTACTGCTCACAATGATATTGTACAAAATGAGCATAGGTATAACCTCATATCAAAAATCTCAAAGGCCCCACGTTTATGTGGTATAACAAACAAGATGTGTCAAATATATGCCTAACATGTTGTAAAAGGTGACTAATATAAAATGAGGATTGTGATTGGGTAGTTTATCAGTGGGTTATTTATCACTTTTTTTACAAACTTCCATCTTACCTTATATCTTTACTGTTCACTGCTGGATATGGGCCTCCCCCATAGATTACCTCATAGCAGGGATATTTGCCATGGTTGCTATGCTTGACGGGCGGTTTGGCAACTGATTTTCATTTTTAGTTGTCATTGGGAAGACTGCTATTCATCTGGTGGTTTGTTTCCCTCTGTCGCCTCTAACGACACCCGAGGGTGATATGTGGGTATTCTTATGCTGTTACTACATGGTTTACTACACTACAATCTGACATTATATATTTAGCTAAACAAGTTCCAATCAGCGCTCTTTTCTTTAGATTCTGCCTCCTCGGAGATCATAGGTGTGACACTATGTGTGTATGTGCCATATCAAAAAACAAACAAAATTTAGAAAGCGCAAGTTGTTATATTGCAGAAGTAAAAGCTGATAGATTTAAGCCCTGCCATTTCCTTTTCATCTTTTAAACAATCACAATATCAGAAAACTTGCAGCTCAATGATTACTAAAGTAAAGAATTTCCACAGTCGCATCTGATTTTTTTTATACAACCAAGTAATACTAACACACTACCTGATGCTGTAGCCCATAGATACATATACATATTTTTTATACAAGAGTGATAATAGAGCACACAATTAATCTAATGGTGAATGTTTGCTATAGCCCATAGACAGCTATGTCTATCTTTTATTAAGAGGGCTCCCATGAGAACTAAGATGAAGCATCTTTACCATTAAAAATGGTCTCCAGTTCTCACCACTCACCATACGAAACACAGCAGATAAATTTATGTTTCTATTTCATGCTGGTATTCTGTGTTGAACACACAATTGCAAATGTATCATCATCCATGAGTACCAAGATGGAATGTCTCATTATGAATATATAGAATGACCAGTAAGAAAGCTCTGTTTTTTTTTATACGATAAGGGTGACAAACGAGCACACAGTCCACCTGATGGTAAGTGGTTGCTGCGGCCCATAGACATCTACATCTATCCTCCATCACAAATCAAAATGTAGATGCGTTGTCACCCGTGAGGACTAAGATGGAATGCCTCATTTCCAGTAAAAAGGGCCTCCGGCCACCTGCACTCACCAAGCGAAACGCAGAGGTAAACCTCTACTTCACGCTGGTTTTCTGTGAGGTCGTGGTACCACCCCGGTTCGAGCAGGCCCATCCGTGCGACAGCAAAAGCTGCCGTGTGGTTCTACCACTGTTTCTCAACATTCACTATAAAAACAGCAATGAGTTGCTATTTTATGTTGGTAATCTGTGAAATTATTAATTAATTGTTTATTTCTGTGTAGTTGTATATAGTGCAATATATAATGTGATCCATTTATGGAGTTATTGCTGTAAGCTACAACCGTAATATAACTACAGCTTCTGTAGCTCTATCATGCTTAAAATATTCACATTTTATTTCCGAGTTCCATTATTTTCGATTTTGTGTTAATTATTAATAAGTTACTTTACATGTACAAACAAGTGGCCCAAGCATTCTAACCTGTAATTTTTTACAATTTATAAAGGACATATGCACTAATATGGTTGCAAAATTTGCTTTTACTACAATAAATTTATTATCATTTCATTTCTTAATTTTAATTTTTAATTTTAACAAATAAGACCACTAAAATGTAGCTATATGTAGGTTGTATGAATATTTTGTTATTATCTTACTGTAAATTATTATTTGTGTAAATTTTTATGTACATCATATTAGACATGCTTCTTAATCTCTCATAAATCTTTATAACTTGATCAAGAACAAGAAACAACAATTACAGTATAAGAATGATCCATATGGGTTAGTAAAGTAATTTATATAATTAATGTTGCCGGCGTCAATCTTTCCGTCCAAATACAATCTGGGCGTCTTCAAGGCAAGAGTGAATAGGCTTTTGTTACGCTAAGACAGTGCGATTTACTATCTAAGGCTTCATCACCACTTACCACCAGGTGGGATTGTGGTCAAGCACTGGCTTATAAAAAGTAAAAAAAAAATTGAATTAATTCATATACCTCTGCTCACTACCCACTGCACCAGACACAGCAGTGCATACGTGCCTTGTGCTGCAGGAATGGGCAGAGTCTGGTTTCTCCACAATAACTCTCAGGATTTATATGTAATATTCAACTAGTATTAATATTTTATTTTTATTTATAGGCTCCTGGTGGTCATGAGCTAACAGCAGACTTTTGGGAACTGATTGGGCTTGCACCACCTGGCGGTGCAGACTCCATATTGAATGAGGAAGCACTACCGGATGTGCAGTTGGATAACAGGTCACTAGTATTTCAAAATATTACTTTACACGGGTTACAGGCTACACTAATAACAAAAAAAAATTGTGTGCAATTCACATGCGGCAGAAGTAAAACCTTCAGAAAACTAAACTTCGAGAGAATGACATGAATGCTGAGTATCACGAGTAGGAGTATATATTATGTAATAATAAAATGAAAAATTATTTTATATGTTATTATTACATAATACAAGTATTACATTTCATAATATACAAACTCCCAAGTTTTTAATTTCATCATCGTACATACTTAAAAAATTTCAAATGAACAAATTTTGTCCTTAATCCTTACTGCTCATAGATCACATACATAATATCAATACATAGTAGGAAACACTGCACACTGATTCTATTTCATTCTCTCGCAAGCTAAATTCTACAGCTGTCTTGACAATGACAATGTTGACAATGTTTGTCTGTTTTTAGTGTCGCTTTTTCGTTTCATCAAGCTACAAATAACGACTATTCTAAAGAAGTTTTCACATTAAAAAAACCCCTTCTTACACCTTCCCCAGCTTGTAACCATTTACCGTTGCACTTGAAGCTCTCCCATGATTAGAGAAGACTTGTCAGACCACTACGCTTGGTGGTTAAGTTGGCGATGGCAGTACTAGATATCTGTTACTTTATTCTCCATTATTCTGTTGTCCGATTTCTTGAACGATTCTCTTACAACAGATCTTTTTTTTCCAAAAGCGCAACTATCAACTATGGACTCATAATAAAAAATTGTTTGTGTTCTTTATAACTTTCAGAGACTCACGCTCACTCAGTCTTTTTACATTCACTTCAAAATTATCGTTTTCCAAACGGTCTATTGATTATTCCGAAGATATCCCGGACGTCAGTCTGAGTGAGATTAGAATGGCTCTTCAGCACCTTACAAACGGCAGGGCCCCAGATGAGAATGGAATTACAGCGGAGCTTTTGAAAGCGGGTGGAAAACCGGTACTTGAAGTCCTTCAAAAGTTCTTTAATTCCGTCCTCCGTGGTACTACTCCGGAGACGTGGAGCAGAAGTGCGATGGCCTTGTTTTTCAAGAAAGCGACAACACTCTCTTTACGAACTACAGACCGATTTTCCTTCTGAGCCGCGTCTACGTGCTGTTTTCGAGAGTCATTACGAATCATCTCGCACGCAGACTTGACGGCTTCCAGCCTCCCGTACAAGCCGGTTTCCGGAAAGGCTTTAGTACCATAGACCACATACACATCCTTCGGCAAATTGTACGGAAGACAGGAGTATAATCTGCCACTTTGCCTTCCGGATGTGGACTATTGTACTTGTGGACCGACAAGTTGACTGTCGGTATATCGAAGTGCTGAAGTGTTTGTACAGTAGGGCTACGATGGCTATCCGAGTACAGAATCAGAGTACGAAACCTATCCAACCGCAGAGAGGTGTAATGTCTTACACCTCTCTGCTTTTTCAAGCTACTGGACTGGAAATGATGCGGTATTAACATCAATGGCGAGTACATCACTCACCTTCGAGTTGCCGATGATATAGTCCTTATGGCAGAATCGCTTGAGGACCTAAGCACTATGCTCAATTACCTCAATAGTGTCTCCCAACGAATAAGTGTTGAGATGAACATGGACAAAACAAAAATCATGTTTAACATCCATGTCACACCTATGCCGGTATTTGTTGGGAGCACTAAGCTCGAAGTTGTTGACGAGTATGTTTACCTGGGACAAATAGTCCGACTAGGTAAGTCCAACTTCGACCGAGAGGTCAATCGACGGATTCAACTCGGCTGGGCAGCGTTCGAGAAACTACGACACATCTTCTCGTTAGACATACCTCAAAACCTGAAAACGAAATTATACGGATTAGTAGGCTGAAGTGGCAGTGGGCGGGCCATATAGCTCGAAGAACAACAGATGGGGAAGAAAGGTTCTCGACTGGCAGCCTCGTACCGGTAGGCGAAGTGTAGGGCGACCCCCCACTAGATGGAGCAACGACCTGGTAAGAAATGCAGGAAGTCGATGGATGCAGGTGGCTCAGGACCATGCTTTGTGGCATTCCTTGGGGGAGGCCTATGTTACGCAGAGGACTTATGAAAGGCTGTAATGATGATAATGAAACGGTCTATTTATGATTGAACGACAGCGTTAACCTTGGTATTTTGTTGTATACGAGGTGGTTATTACTCCACCGTCTATAAATCCACTACCGAACATACGCCTCCCCCAAGAAATGCCACAAAGCACGGCCCGAGCCACCTGCATCCATTGACTTCCTTTATGTCTTACCAGATCGTTACTCCATCTAGGGGGGGAGAGACGCCCTACACCACTCGAGAACCTTGCTTCCCCATTGGTTGTCGGTTCGAGCTATATGGCAGGCCCGCTGCCACTTCGGCTTACTATTCCGTATGGCTATGTCATTTACTCTGGTTCTACTACTTATATCCTCTTTTTAAGTCTATCACGCAGAGAAATCCTGAATACAGACCAAAATATTTAATAGTAATGAAATTCAACAGACATATAATGATCCGTGGCGAGAACACATCGAAGGTCCTTCGTGCACGTGCTGCTGTGACGAGAGCCTTCCGCGAACATTTCGCATCGCGTCGCTACACAGAAGTGACCCCACCCACAATGGTCCAAACCCAATGCGAAGGAGGTAGTACACTCTTCAAGTTCAGCTACTTTGGGTGAGATATTTTTTGGATGTTATGGATAGTTTAAGACCTAATCTAGGATAAATCCACATCGTGACATGGTAATATTCAATTACCATTGATAATCCAGTGCTTCAGACCGGAACAAAGCTGTTCATGCAAGATTCAGTTTAAGTTTAAGAAAGTTTGACTTCAAAGTTGTGAGACATTCCATCTTAGTCATTTGAGGTGACAACGCATCTGCAGCCTTCATTGTTTGAAGTAGGTTGCCAGTGTTCATGGGCTGCAGTAACTTACAATTAGTGGGGCTGATAGTTTGTTTGTCACTTCAGGTAAATAAAAAATAAAACTTAACACATTGGTCATAAGCTTTGATGATCCTAGGACTATTTAAGAAGACATCATTAACATGAGTTGTATGAGTGGTAGAGCTATGCTGCGGCGTATCATTACTAGTTAGAACACCAGTGTGAAATAACAACAAAATGCAGCTGTATGCAGCAGCAAAGATCCTTTTAAATGTTTTTTTTTATGGGATAAGGATGACAAACGAGCACACAGCCCACCTGATGATAAATGGTTGCTGCGGCACACGTGAGGACTAAGATGGAATGCCTCGTTTCCAGTAAAAAGGGTCTCTGATTCTCTACACTCACCATACGAAACACAGCAGTGTTAAGCTGTTATTTTACGCTGGTATTCTGTGAGAGCCTGGTCCTTCCCCGGTCGAGCCGACCCATTTGTGCTACAACTATACTACTAATATAGCGACAGCGTGGTTGTACCACTTAAATAAGTAACAAGGCTTTGTATTTTACTCCTGCTGACAAGGAATTTGCATTGTGATTTTTAATCGAAAATTAATTAATTATTAGTCAAGCACTGGCTTATAATAGTAAAAAAAGGTGTCTATGGCCCACATTCCATTACATTGCAGCCTATCGAAAGTCCACTGCAACATAGGCCTCCCCATAGATTGCCTCTTAGAGGGATATTTATCATAGTTTGCCACGCTTGGCAACTGCAGTTTTTTTATATCAGTAAGATGCTGCTGCCCATCTTCTAGCTCAGCTTCTCTCTGTTGCCTCGTATGACTGCCACGGGATGATATGGGGTAATGGATATTCTTACACTGCCACTACATGGTATATTGAGTTATATTCAATGTGAACGCTTGATTTATTAACAGGGAAGAGGCGTATCTGACACAGAGCTCCCAACTATACCTGGAGACATGTTTACCAGCTCTCGGCGACGTGTACTGTATTGCTCAGTCATATCGAGCTGAGCAATCTCGCACCCGTCGCCATCTTGCTGAGTAAGTATTTTTTTTTATTTCACTCATAGTTACAAAGCACTTCATCTTCGACACTGGAGTTATAAAAAAATAATGGCACATGATTAAATTGTCTATAGGTACAGCCATGTGGAAGCAGAATGCCCATTCATAACCTTTGAAGAATTGTTGGATAGACTGGAGGACTTAGTGGTGGATGTTGTGGACAGAGTGTTGGCATCGCCTGAAGGACACTTGGTCTATGAGCTCAACCCCAAATTTAAGGTGAGATTATGTTAAAAGTTATATAGATAAGTAGTTCACAAACTGCAGACTTCCCGATACGTCGGTGCTTCAAGTCAGCTATATCTGCAAGTCTGCAGTTTGTGAACATGTTCAAGATCGCGGGGACGATCTTACATTAGATTTGATAGACCACAAATCCTCGCAAAAGAACACCGATTCCTCCCAAGGATGATTCGCGAGGCTATTGAAATTAAAAAACATCCTAATTTCAATAGAGAAGATGGATGGGTGCTGCCATCTGCTTGGGATCCCATAATTAATAAAATCAAATCCAAACCCAAGTATACCACTGCTAGACTTCAAGATACTGTAAGCTCATTCTGCGTAAATCGGACCAAAAATTAATATTAAAAAACTGAAGGTAGCCGGGCTAACTATGACAGCAGGACGTCAAACACCTCAGTCCCCCGTGACCACGGGTGCTGGAAAGCACCCGAAACGTCGGGAATATAAAAATATGTTAATATACGCAATAAAATCCATAAAATTAGTTTTATTTAAAAATGTGTAGTGTTCGCGTAAATATAAGAAATCATTAAGTATATCGAAATTGATACGAATTCGATACTCTAAAACAAATATCGATATATCGCGAGTAAAAATATCGACGATATGTTTATGAGAAAATATCGATATTCTTTACCCATGCCTAATCAGATTAATAACGTAAAAATACAAAATTAAATGAGAATGTTATTTTTTAAGCGTCCCGAAAAACCTTTCAAGAGGATGGCGTATACTGAAGCAATAGAGTACCTCCGCGCTAACAACATCACCAAAGAAGACGGTTCGTTCTACGAATTTGGAGAGGTAAGATACGGAAATTATTAAAAATTCTAATTTAAAGTAATATTAATAATAATAATTTAAAGTAGCCATGTGGTGCCGCCGTAAGAGAATCCGCTACCCATATGATCGGGAAACCGAAACAGAAGATTTTTTTTATAAAATAAGGGTGACAAACGGGTATACAGTCTACCTGATGGTAAATGGTTGCTGTGGCCCATAAACATCTGCATCTATCTTCGATTAAGAATCAAAATGCAGATGCGTTGTCACCCATGAGGGCTGAAGTGGAATACCTCATTTCTTGTAAAAGGGATCTCCGTTTATCTACACTTACCACGCTGCTATTCTGTAAGAGTGCCGGTCGAGCCCACCCATTCGTGCTACAAACATATTATAGCTGTAGCTGGGCTCTACCACGTATGGGCAGCTGCATCTTCCTTATAAGAAAGTAACATTAATAAATAAATTGCAGTTGTCAACCCACTTGCTAAGTGTCCTCCCTATGAGGCAATCTATGGGAGAGGTCTATGTACGGCAGTGGACTTTTTATAGGCTCTGATGAATGATTAAATTAATGATTGGAACTTCTTTAAACAACAAAAAAAAAATCAATTATAATCATATAACTTTTTTTTATACGATAAAGGTGACAAACGAGCACACAGTCCACCTGATGGTAAGTGGTTGCTGTGGCCCATAGACATCTACATCTATCTTCGATTAAGAATCAAAATGCACATGCGTTGTCACCCGTGAGGACTAAGATGGAATGCCTCGTTTCCAGTAAAAAGGGTATCCGGTTCTCTACACTCACCATACGAAACACAGCAGTGTTAAGCTGCTATTTTACGCCGGTTTTCTGTGACTGCGTGGTCCTTCCCCGGTCGAGCCGACCCATTCGTGCTACAACCATAATATAGCTGCAGCATGGCTCTACCACGTATAAACGTATATAACTTCTTAACACATTTTAAAATTTTATTTTTTAGTAGATATATATTAAATAAAATTGCTTCCAGGATATCCCAGAAATGCCAGAACGTAAGATGACAGACGCCATCGGAGTACCGATCCTACTGTACAAGTTCCCGGCAGAGATCAAGGCCTTCTACATGTCCCGTTGCGCTGATGACCGTCGCTTGACCGAGTCTGTGGATGTATTGATGCCTGGTGTAGGGGAGATTATCGGTGGATCCATGAGGATCTGGGACCATGAAGAGCTGCTGGAAGGTATGTGTAGATAGACTCAAGGTCTTAATGAGGTATTAATGATGTATCAGGGGTAATCAAAATGTTAGTACATTGTTACCTTTGAGGTTGAAGATCGAATGCCTTGTTATCAGTTAAAAGTGTCTTCGGTTCTCTACACGCATTATATGAAACACTGCAGCTTAAGCGGCTATTTCACAACGGTATTGTGTAAGTGTGGTCCAAGAAATGTATGGCTGATAAATAAGAATTGTTTATGTAAATGTACAGTAATCATACATTATATACATACATAAACTATCACGCCTGTCAACTAGAGGGATTGGCAGAAACTCCGAACTTACATTAGGCATGATCATGATTCACCTTTCTCGCTTCTTTAATATCCATATATCTACGCATACATGCTCGTCAGTTAAGGATGCATTACACTATGTTTAAAAAATATTTTTATAATCAGGTTACAAGCGCGAAGGTATCGACCCAACACCATACTACTGGTATACGGACCAGAGGAAATTTGGTTCCGTGCCTCACGGTGGTTACGGATTAGGTCTGGAGCGTTTCCTCTGCTGGTTGTTGGACCGATATCACATCAGGGAAGTCTGCCTGTACCCACGTTTCCTGGAACGCTGCACTCCTTAAAGGGCGCCTATATAAGAGCTTCACTATCTCGCATTTGTCGGAAACTCTGTTTCTCTATGTATATCAGCTATAAATGTTATGTAAAATGAGATGTTTTGAAATGGGCTGGGTCTATGTACGTTACCACCAAAAAAAAAACCAGAAAAATACGTTTGTGTAAAATACATTTAAATTAGTATAAATAGTATGTATTTCAGTGGTTCTAAGTGTTCAGTTAATTAACTTTATTAATTAATCGATTAGACCGATTCAGACATTCAGAAAAGGAGACCTACTTCACTATTCTACTATTCTATTTCATTATCTCGCAGCTAAATCCTATAGTATGTTTGTCTCTGTTAGTGTCGCTTTTACTTTTCACAGAGTTTCAAATCACGACGACTATAAATAAGTTTTCACTTTCAAAACAAAAACCATTAAAAGGAAAATAAGATACGTGTATTATCCACAATCTTCTTTTTGCAAACGGACATTGTATTTATATCTTCTAATCTATACTGCTTAATAAACACTCACACTGACATTGGCGAACGATTAAGGCCGCCATATAAAAGAAGACCGCCATGTTGTTTGTCGGAGTGTATGTAAGTAGTGTGTAGTGCTAGTGTAACTTCTCGTTTTAAACCAGTAATCGATGCCATATTAAAAAAAAATATAAATTGAAAAGTGTCCCTTGTATGATTGTCTATTCTTATGTTAGTGTACAAAGACCTGGCTCATTTTGCAGAAAGCTTGCTGTATTTTAATTAAATGGAGTTCTAAATCATACTGATTGTTTTATTTATTGATTTAAGATAAAATGCTATGCATAATCCCACAGACTAGCGTTAACATTCCAGGGACTTTGAATAAAAAAATGGGCTTTAGACTCGCAAACTATCTGCGTGGCGCGCGTGGACGAACTTATGCACAGCACCTGGCGGTAAATAATACACCTCGGTCTTTAGAAAGAGATAATCTGTCGCTTATACCTGTGTGACGTTTCGTCGTTTACTTTTTAGTCATTGTACAAGGTCGCTCCTAGGCTGTGATCGTGTCTACTTCAAATGTGTTACAGTTGTTGAAATCCCCAATTTAAAGTTGTTCTATAGCATCTAATATAAATTAACTTACGTAAAAAGCAATGGTACATGAAATCCACCAGTATGCATTACAGCAGCGCGGCGTTCATAAGGGCATTCACGATTTATTCTGCCACCAGGGCGGCGTCACTTTGGAATAAGGTGAAACATTTGACATATCTCGTAGTGAAATATTAGTTATATTTTGTATTTATTACATTAGAAGTACACCTTAGTCCTAACTGGTGATATCTGGTCAGCGCAAGATTAAAAGCCCTCATCGCTGCATAACCCTCTCAGACATGAGAGGAGGGCTGTGCCCCGCAGTGCATAGGTACGTATCGCTGTAACTTTGCTCACCCAAATATAGATGTGAAGTTCATAATTCGAATTAGAGTAATATGAAATGTTAAGAAAAAAATTGAGATCAAAAAGAATTAAATGTTATTTTTGATAAAATGATTACTATATTTAATTACATTTAGAATTAGACATAGTGTTTATTCTTTTATATCTTTACTTTGAACACAAGTAATGGCACATTTCAACAAAAATGCGTTACGTACCTACATAAAGTAAGCAATTAAAAAAATTACAATTTGCAAATAGCGTGAAAACTTTATTTTATTAATCTTCCTGCCTTTCTAATGACAAATTATAAAAATAAAGTTTTTAAACTGGATTATGCAAAACTCCTTGTTACAACAGTTAATAAAAAAATATAAAAAATAATGTCCTATTTTATCACCAATGTTTATGTTCAGTCAGTGTATTATTGAGTTAAAATAACATCCAAGTATAACTAAGGCAACCATTCGGCGTCATCATCCGGTCTTGCAGACAGGCGGTTTGCGTGCGATGCAGGCGGCTCAGTGAGGTCTTCCTTGCTATCAGTCACTTTATGGTACACTTTCTTTCCAGCTTCCACTACGTATTCTACGCCATCAGCTGTAATAAAATGATTATTAAGTACTGAGGAATATACAATAAAATATCGTTCATTTTTACAGACTTCAAAAGAGGACATTCTTCAATCGATATGATTTGACTATAGCATTTAATAAATTTTTTTATATAGAATTAGGGCGATAAGCGAGGACATAGCCCATCTGATGGCATAAGTGAATGCAGTGGCCCAAAGACATTCACATCTATCCTTCAATGTCACCCCTGAGGACTAAGATGGATAAGAAACCTCTTCAGTTCATATATTAGTAACATGTATTACATAGTTAATTATCATTTTCAACCGACTTCAAAAAAGGAGGAGTTTCTCAATTCGTCGGAATCAGATTTTAATGTAAGTTTACCGATTACTCGAAGACGCCTGAACTTCTTTCTTTTCCTATGCTTCTCAACTAGTAAAAAGAGTCTCCAGCTATCTACACTCACCACACGAAACACAGCAGCATCGAGCTGCTATTTTACGTATGTATGTTACGTAATTACTCAACATACATACATTAGTGGTACGGTGCAGCTACCTATATTAAGGTTGTAGCACGAATGGGTCTGCTCAAACGGGGAAGGACCACGCTCCTACCAGCGTAAAATAGCCCGTAGCAGAACAGGAGACCTTCGTTACTGCAAAAGAGACGTTCCATATTAGTCCTCACGGCTGACAACGTATCTACATTTTGATTCGCAAACGAAGATAGATGTAAATGTCTATGGACCACAGCATCCACTTACATCAGGTGGACTGTGTGCACGTATGTCATCCCTATTATCTTTATATATTATAAAAATGACGTCTCACATTGTTTGTCTGCGATGAACTCCTAAACTACAGAACTAATTTCAATGAAATTTTCCACACTGTGTGCAGTTTGGTCCAACTTGAGAGATAGTTTTTATACCGATAAGTGACTCTTTAACATTTTTTATTAAGAATTTAAGGATTTTTTATATGAAGAGTCGTCGAAAAGGGCAGAACAACGTCTGCCTGGCCAGCTAGTAGCGGAGCGTCATATCCATGGTATCGGTATCGAGGTGGAATTGAGGGTATATGTCGTTTGTGCAGTATAAAGTTCACTGTCGGTGCCGTGCGCGGGAGATTCCGCTTAAGTAATTCTACGAGTGCTAAGATAGTGTCGTTCTATCCGTTGTGGTGGTTCTTCTTATGCAGGCAAGGAGGATTGGTGTTGCTGAGAGGCTGCCCTGTATTACACTGAGATAAGTAGTGTTGCTGTTGGTTTACATATGTTGGTGTTATCATGTAATTACGTACCTCACGTTACACTGGTGTGTGATTGTGGCGGAGACGTGTTACGTTGTGGTCGAACTGTAATTTCTCTATACTAAATGTATAGTGTGTTACGCTGTCTTATTACTGATTTTTTTTATAGGATAGGGTGACAAACGAGCACACAGTCCACCTGATGGTAAGTGGTTGCTGTGACCCATAGACATCCACAATTATCCTCAATAAAGAATCAAAATACAGATGCGTCGTCACCCGTGAGGACTAAGATGTAATGCCTCTTTTCCAGTGAAATAGGTCTCCGTTTCTCTACACTCACCATACGAAACACAGCAGTGTTAAGCTGCTATTTTACGCTGGTTTTCTGTGAGAGCGTGGTCCTTCCCCGGTCGAGTCGACCCATTCGTGCTACAACTATACTACTAATATAGTTGCAGCATGGCTCTACCACGTGTAGATAATGATTAATTGCGTAAGCAAGAGAGCAAGTTGAACATCCGCTCTCACACTTTTACTATTTTTAACAATTAATGCTATCCTGATGTATTTCCGAGATCAGAAGTGGGATCATCTGTTATATGACATTTCTCAGAGATATTTCTCAGACTTATCTACCGATTGTTCTGTTTTTTTTAACAATAACATATTTTCAGTGTTTCTTTTTTTTCAAATAAATTTCAACTAGCTGTGCGATTTTCTAACTGTAGTGGCAATCGTTTGCCGGTGGGAATGACACTGTCTTTTCATTATGATTATATTTTGTAACCTAAAATAAGATATTAATATAAACTACGCCGTCTTATAGTCGATACTTTAAAGCAGCAGAAGGCACAGTATTTCCCAGTATACTACATCCCTCCTCTGTGCACACCAACCAAAACCAAACGGACCAGAGTCATAATCGCACTGACCATTGATATCGTTTATAAAGTCCTGTATTAGCCTGTCAAGCATGGCAATGAGGTCATCCGCGACATTTTCAGCCAACAGGGCGGTGCCACAAAGGAATAAAATGAAATATTTGATAGATTTTATAGCAGTCGAACTAAATCTATTGGAAAAGTGTAAACTAAATTTATTGAAAAAGTTTAGAGCTTAATGTTGCCCTCCGAAAAGTTAGATATATTTTATATTCAATACATTACCAATGGGTAAATCAGACTATGTGCTCGTATATTACTAAAAGTAAAAAATATAAAAAAGCGTTAAAATAGTGATTTTTTTAAAAGAATCACCGAGGCATTGTTTTTTGTATATGCATACATTTAGAAAACGATTTTTTCTACCGACTTCAAAAAGTAGACGGTACTCAATTCGACTGTATGTTTTATTATGTGTGTTACCTCATAATTTTTTACTGGGTTAACCGATTTCGATGATTCTTTTTTTATTTGAAAGCTGGTGCTTCACATGTGGTGCCATATAAATTTGATTAAAGTCTGACCAATAGTTTTTGCGTTATACTTAATAATTTATATTGAAGTCGGTTGTACAAAATTTTTCAATTTTAAATTATTTATTTACTATTTTGTGTGATCGGCTACGTGACAAATAAGTTCACCTTAGTCCCAACTAGCGACATCTGGTGAGCGAAAAATTATTAGTCCTCATTAATATGTGGTATGAAATGTTAACTGGCTGATGAGAATGAGGAGGAGGTTTAAGTTCAGACTTTAATACGGCACCGAAGATACAAAACCACTTACCAATAACACCGCCGGTCTTCCTCACAGCCTCACCAATGTTGTGGGAAGAGAAAGTGTTGGGATTTATATTGATGTTGACACCCTCTGTGCCGTTGGGATGTTTGGGGCAATTATTTTGTATGATGATCGACAAGTCGTAGGGATCGACGCCGAACGACGCCAACTTTGTACGCATCTGTAAAAATATAACTTTCAAATTAACCGCGTTGTTAAGAAAATAATTATCATCTGATCTCCTGGATTATCTATGACTTTCGTGTAATCATCAGTTACTCTTCTTAACTTGCAAACAGTCGAAAAATTTCTTAGTGTCGTCCATATCATCCCATGGGTGTCGTAAATGGCGACAGAAGCAGAACAACATTACACACCAACAGGGGCTAGTAGTATCTTACTGATGAGAACCCAAAACTATTAATAAAAAACTGGTGTCCCGCCGTCTGCCAAGCGTGACAAATATGGCAAGTATGCCCCCCCCCCCCTCCCCCAAGAGGTAATCCTCATTAGGCCTACAGCAGTGGTCTTTTGATGAGCTGAAATGAATGGATGAATGAACACGAAAATGTTCCACTGTTGGATATAGGCTTATTCTTCTTTAGGTGCGAAGGTTTTTAAATTATTTATATTTATATCAAATTAAAATTTGTACTGCGTGTCACGTTATAAGAGTAAAAATTATCTGTGTACCCGTCAAATTATTTCATAGCGTCGGTATAGTTGGTCGGTCGATGCATTTTCATTATTTTTCGAGGATAAATGTAAATGTATATGTGCTACATCATCTAGTTACTATCAGGTGAACTGTGTGCTCGCTTGGCACCCTTATTCTATAAAAAATCCCGATCTGCGTCAGGGAGAACATGAAAATTAGCTGTTTATTTTTTCATATACTTCCTGACATTTAAAAATTCCGTATAAATGTAAAAAATTACATTCTAGCGGCAATGGATTTATGAATATTAATAATATGAATATAGAATTCTAACAGAACGTTGTTATAGCCTCACCTTGTCTACATACATCTTATCAAGTTCCTTTTCGCGGGAAAGTATGGTCGCCGAGCGTCTGTGTGCAAACGCAAGTTTTTGACAAGTAAATATGGCGGCGTATGTGGTGTAGTCTGTTGACAAAACTGTATAGCTCGCAGAACCGGCTACGCCTGTAAATGAAACAATTTAATTTTTTTAAACTTATGTAAAAATAACGTTCCTAACACTAATATTCTTTAAAGTATGTAAAGTCGTTGGTCCTTCGCCTGATCTCTTTCCGGTCGTGTCTGTTTACCGTCCCATCGGACTATGCACAGAGTACTTTTTATAAACTGGAAGTACTATGAGAGCGAGGTAATAGAGAGTGCACCTGTGTTTGCGCATACACTTGGGCACTATAATCCTGTCCTGCGCAAATGGCTAGTCTCCATTGAGGCTGGCCGCCGTGACCGAAACTCGGTCTGGAGGACATTATTATTTTCGCGTGTTTCGTTGGAGCGTTTTACATACATGAATTGCACATGGACAAGCTTGTGTATTGAATCGGCAGTCCTGCTATGTTTGTCGCCATCACGAAGTCTTTTATGAACAAAAATATTTTATCGCGTTTAATTTGACTTTTTAAATTCTAAACGTATCTGGCTGCTTAGCAATGTGCCTAATCCTTAGATTAATGATAAGTCATCGCGGCGCGATGACTTATCATTAATCTATGGCCTAATCGTTAGAATGCAGAAAGCGTCAATGTGCACATTAGCTACATATTCTGTAGATTATCGGGTGCGATCCGTTTATGTGCGAAATTTTATTTAAAGTAGCAAATATCTGCACAAACATTACACTTGAAAATATTTAATTTAATTGATTTTCAATGTATTAATGTATTTAATACTTACTTAATGGAAATCTCACTTTCATTCTACCGGGCACTGCAGGATCGGGTACAGTGAGGACTCCTTTGTAACTGTAACAGAAATAATGAAGACTCAAAAATATTGTCGAAGTCATACATATTTAACTACTTTACTATAATACAAATTATTAATTATAGTTATTATTCATATATTAATAATCGCATCTGGAATCCGAATCGGTTTTCGGGCTCATCTCTTTCTAAAATTAACGGAGAGCAGCCTCAAAGGTTCGAGACGTCTGGTACCATCATCGTCACGGTACTGTGATCGTCAAGCTGCCTGCCAAGTCTCTCCGAGACATATATTCAACAATAAACTTTTACAGGCTGTCGACATTTATCTCATCAAAATGTCAACTCATACTCACACTTAAACTCATGCACGCACGCACGCACGCACGAACGCACTCACCCCACATACACACGCACACACGTATGCGTGTGCGTGTGTACACCACAAGACATTTGAAATCGTAAAAATTATCGCGCAAAAATGTTCCAGATTCATTTTTCTATAATTTTTTTTTAATTTAGCTCGTTAAAAATGTAAAGGAAAAATTGGAACATTCGTATTTTTAATTCTAAATAATCGTACTTTCAAAACAATAAAACTTTTAGGAGAAAGAAAACAGACCAAAAACAAACAAAAAAATTAAAAAAAAATTCACATAATATGTTATGTGTAGGTGCTAACACAAGGGTATCGAAAAGAAAACGAGTTCCGAGAAGCTATCTTAGATTATTGACAAATCCTGAGCGCGCGAAAACCTATCAATAATCTATGGAAGCTATATTACATATTAGGAGTTATTTTATTTTAAAAGTCTTCTTAAAGTATACCTTTTACTAAGTTAATTTTCTATAAGAAATATAATTTACAAACCTGTAGTCGTGCTCGAGTGGAGTCAAGCCTAAAAGGAAGTGCTGCGAAACCTGGTCTATTTCATAAGTGCCGGGCTCGTCGGTTTTAGTGAAATTGTATGTGATACAATGCGACGCGGTCGAAGTCTTTTGAATCACGTACCATACTCCTAAAAGCTGTAAAATAACATAGTCATATGGGAATAGTGAATTTAAACACTTGTTATTATAGTAAACAGACAAACCAATCGGTTTTAGGGTACAGTCGGATTTTGCCGCTATATAATATATAAACTCTGCCACTCACGTGGGCCTATGCCTTTATTCGCTTCAGAGAAATATTCATTACTTTTCAGTCGACTTCACCAGAAGGTTTTTAGAGTGTATGTACAGGGTTATTTTGCAATAACCGGCCAAATTTGCAGAGAAGGTTCAGAATAAGTAATATAGAGGCAAACGGCGAAGAAAAATTAATTAAAAAAATCTCAAATTACTTAAAAAAATATCAATATTATGTCCTTTTTATCTTTTAAATTCAAATTGCGTGGTAACGCATTATTTTAACTGATTTTACCGCGCACGCACACATTTGTCAGGGTCGATCGGTAAGCATTAACGTTGTTGCCCATAAATCACATTCAATTTGGAATAATTTCAAAAAAAGTAGAAACCTTATTTACTTGTATTTTAAAAAAAAAAACTGCAATAACGGTATATCATTATTTACATATTTGAACTTAACCCTTTCGCTGTCCCGTGCATTATATTTATGTCATTGCTATTGTCTTACTATTGTGTCTGGAAACCGGACAGTGAAAGTGTTAAGTTTACAATTTGGCTAGTCTTTGAAAAATAACCCTTTATATATATATATATAGTTTCTTTGGCAAGCTCTTTAGCTTAAATGGCTTGATGTATCTTAATATATGGGGCTAGTTGTAGAAATGCCATAGGATATAAAACTTTTCTCTTTTCAGTAAACTTTTTTAAGCCGTCAGGCTTTTTAAATTACTATTTAAACCTTTGGACTTGTTTCACAAGCTGTCTCATACAAATGGCTTGGCTCATTGTCAATTATTACTGGTCTGTTCGGATTTTTTATACAGTTAACCTGATAAGTGGATGTTATCGTTCATGTATACCTTCATCTATTCTTTATTAGCAATTAAAATACAGATGCATTATTACCCCTGAGAATTAAAATGGAATGCCTCGCTATCAGTAAAAATAGCCTCATCAGCAATGCGCTGCTATTTTACGTTGGTATTTAGTGAGAACGTGACAGTATCGCGGTCGAGCCGACCTTTTGATGCTGCAGCCGTAATAAATGCAGCATGGCTCAATCGCGTCAACTGTTATTTATGTTCAGCTGTGGATCTTGGGATGGCATGTAATGATTATGATGAAGTAAAACAACGGTCAATTTAATAGATTTTGACGTTTTGTCTAATACAATAATAATTAAAAATTAAAAAAATTCTATAACCGACTTCAATATAAATTATTAAGAATGACTCAAAAACTATTGGTTAGACCTTGATCAAATATATATCGGACCACGTGAAGCACAAGCTTTCAAATAAAAAAATGCGTGAGTGTCGTGGAACACTCCGTTGGAACAAAGTTCCTTGCGTAGCATATTATTATTGAAAAACGTAGGTATTATATTATTGATTAACAAATAAAAATAAATGAATTACTAGCGTCTATTAAAATGAAGCGCCATATGAAATAAAATAATATTTCTATCCTGGCAAGATAAGAAAAAGTGCGAGGGAGATGGATATCATTCCATCTCACTTTCTTATTTCGCCGCCAAGGCCGTCTACACTATGACACAAGGGGCAGTGACGAAAAAATCTTATACTTTTTGTCGCCTAGCTCCCATCCGCCAAACCCGTACCGTCCGATAAGGAACTTCGTTCCAAAAAATCTTCGAGATCGGTTCACCCGTAAAAAAAGTTATGAGGTAACACATAAAAAAGAAAACAAAACAAAACACATTCAAATTGAGTACCTCCTCCTGTTTGAAGTCGGTAGAAAAAGAATTTAGTTTTCGTAACAATAATGTCCTTCAGACCGAAAATCGGTCACGGCGAACAGTCTCAACGTAGTATGGCCATCTGTGCAAGACATGATTTTAATGCCCAAATGTATGCACGAACACAGGTGTACTCTCTATTAATTTACTCTCATAGCCCTATGGGACACTAATCCCACGCGACCGGAGAGAGATCAGGCGCAGGATTACGTGCTTTCCAACGCACAGGGGGTTAAACACTGACAACTTCCAGACTCCGGGCTGCTACTGGGAATTTGTAGATAGAAAAACCTAACGATTGTTTTGGCCCGACCCGGGATTCGAACACGGGACCTCACGATTAGCAATCGTGTTGACGACCACTAGACCAACGAGGCAGTCAACTCTCATAATCTCTGCCTCGGAATAACATCATTCATTAACACTCAGTTGACTGAAATCAACAATGGCTTTGACACAATGGAATTTCATTCATTTTTATTTCGTTGTTCGATTGTTATTTAAGTGTGAATGTATTTTAGGCTGGACGTTCTTTCATATTGAATTTAAAAACGTTTGATACATATTTGCGATCCTATTTAATAAACTTTAACTTATCAAGCGTAACGATTAAAGACAAATCTTCTGTACGTCGGGCCATTTCATTCCAAGTCCAGCGTTCGACTTTTACAGATTGATGAAGAAAAAGAAGAGGTTTATAAAAGATAAGATAACAATAATACCCTAGATTACTATGGACTAGAACACACAGTCCACCTGATGGTGAGTGGCCGCCGTGGCCCATAGACATCTACATCTATTCTCGATGACAGATTCAGATGGAATGCCTCGTTTCCAGTAAAACTTGTCTCCGGTTCTCTACACTCAACATACGACTGTGACTGTGACTGTGTTCCCAGGGAGATGATCTGGTGGGCGTTGCGGTTAAAGTTGGTACCAGAGACCTACGTGGAAATCGTACGTGACATGTACCGCAACTCCGATTCAATAGTCAGGACCGCTGTTGGTGATACCTCCCCCTTCCCCATATCCGTAGGCGTGCATCAGGGCTCCGTCTTAAGCCCCTATCTCTTCAGTGTGATATTAGACGAACTGTCAGCCAGCGTACAGAAACTACCGCAGCATTGGCTGCTTATGTACGCTGATGATATCGCACTGGTAGATGGGGACAAAGGACGGCTCACCAGACGCGTGCACGCATGGAGGGAGGCGCTTGAGAACGGCGGCCTGAAGCTAAACGTGGCGAAGACGGAGTATATGGCCTGTCACAGCACAGATCTGACGTCTCTCCGTATAGGCGACGACACCGTCGAGCGTACGGACAATTTCAGGTACCTCGGATCTGTGCTTGATGCGTCCGGGGACATCGACCGCGACATCAAGGCCCGTATATCAGCGGCTTGGGCGAAATGGCGCGAGGTGACGGGTGTCATTTGTGACCCCAAAATGTCGGTCAAGCTGAAGGGACAGGTCTATAAGACCATCATAAGGCCTGTCCTTACGTACGGCAGTGAGGAGTAATAAACCCTGCTTTTGTCAATGAGAGTTGGTTGAATCTTCACTTTTATCTGACAACGCAATGACGTCGCTTTAATAAAGCTGCCATCGTGATTCTCATTGTTCGCTTCTCGGACGTATAGTTATTTTTTTTATATCAACATATATGTATAATTCCCTATGTCTACTTCCTTCAGATAAATTTAGATTTTTTTTTATAGAATGGGGTGACATATGAGCACACAGTCCACTTGATGGTAAGTGGATGCTGTGACCCATAGACATTTACATATATTTTATTTATTTATTTATTTATTCTTTTTTTCATCTACCTTATAATAAGGGATATAAAGGGCGGACTTAATGCCTTGTGGCATTCTCTACCAGTCAACCCTGATCTATCTATCTATCTTCGATTAAGAATCAAAATGCAGATGCGTCGTCACCCCTGAGGACTACGTTGGAATGCCTTGTTTCCAGTAAAAAGATTGCTGTAGTAAATATTTATACACCATTTTTATCGATATCGATGCTTTCAATGAATTCTATATTATAGTTCTTAGAGATGATGATTCAATGATTCAAAATAGAGGGTGGATGTAGGTTTCTATGGTAACAAAATCCACTTACCATCAGGTGGACTGTGTGCTCGTTTGTCATCCTTATTCTTTAAAAAAGTATTGTTTAGGATCTATATTAAATAAATAAATATTCTATTATATCTATAAATAGGCAATCGTAATCGTTAAGTACATAAACAATTCTTATCAAGGGTCGCATGTTAAATGTCATGCTGTTACCGCTTCACAACATTAAAATTAAGGAAGAAGAAGAAGAAAATATTTAAATAAACTCTGTGAAAAACCATCTAAAGATGCTAATATGGGAATTTGTACCAACCTATTGTTTTTTTAATTTGCATTATTCTAAAGCCAGTTACATTTTGTTTAAAAATACTTGAAGTAAAAAAAAAATAAGCCTCAACTTCATACTAACCTTATTCATTTCAAATCCAGGCATTGGTTCGACTATTGGACATGCTCCCAGATGATATGTATGCGCTATGGCACTTCCGGTAAAGGTTAACAATAATCCTAATACGGTAAATCTATACATTTTTTAAAAATAAATTAATATCACACAACAACACTATCAACTTTATCCAAATGCGTGCGGTCGCGTACTGGCTAGCGGGACAAGCCGCCGAGAATTTAAATAACAAATAAACGTGTATACAGCCAACTTTTGATGTCATGTATATGACGAACCAGTTGTAATTCTCAGAAGCATTTGTTTACGAACGGACGAACGGTTCATTGAAGGAAATTGTGGACTTCGCTCATTTAACATCGACTCTATCGTCGATGTTAACAAGCTAATCAAAAACGATGCATGTTTAACAACCTAAACCCGTAGTAATAAAAAAAGTAGTAGGTACTCCTTTTCTGTCTTTGTGTCCGTCTGTTTAGGTACCACGCTTCTACCTATTTTTGCCACTAAGCAACAGTGCGTGCGTAAAGAAAGCCGGCTATTGACGGCTCCGTGGCATAGTGGCTTAGCAAGGAGTTGCAGCGCTAAGGGCCGCGGTTTCGAATCCCGTACGAAACAAGTACTTGTATGGCCTACAAATGATTGTTCC